AAAAAAATTTGTCCTAATTTTAAATCTGAATAATATATTTTATATACATTAAAAAATAATAAATCATTTCAAATTTAACTTCAAACCTAACTTTGAAGCACGGAATCACAGAAAAGACACCTTGAAGCATAGAATTGTAGCAAATCTAAAAATAAACATGTGATATTTTCTCATAGTTTTAAACCCTGTTTATATATATATAATTATTAAAAAGTACACATAAGCTTTTCTTTCTTTTTTTCCCAAAAAAAATACACATAAGTCACTAACTGATATGTCATTGTATAATTAATGGTGTTATTATCCATATTAGCATAATTAATACTGTTGATGCCACATTAGCACCCCTCTAAAAGTGTAAGAACCTAAAGTGCAGACAGAGAAAACTATATAGACTTAGAATACTGAAAATAAAATGTAGGGACCAAAACAAATTGCATGCAAAGTGTAGGAATTAAAAGATATATTTTTCTTACTACTACTGCTATTGCTACTATTACTATTACTGTTGCTTCTGTTGTTGCTACTAATCAAGATAATGTAGAGACTTATTATTTTTACATTAAAAATATTTAAAAATAATTATTCTTAAAGGCAAAACTTGATCATAATAATTTGTGTATAATCAATCTCAATATAAAATATTTTATAACGATAAATGGGAAGAATCCGATTCCATTCATGAGTTACGTGTCATTATCCATAAGATGTAATGTGATGTGTACAAAGCTTACTTCAAGTTTGATATATATTTTGTTTGTTTGATATATCACTAACTTCAAAAAAACCGTATTAAATTGAATAAGTCCAAGAAGAATCGAGTCAAAATGATCACAACATGAGACCGCCGTTGCTTGAACGGAATCTACACCAAACCACCTGAACCACTCGATAGTTAAAGATAATAGCTACATATGGTTTTGAAGAGTTTGATTTTTAGATGTAATGTTTATATATATATATATATAAAATAAGTATGGCTTCCTTGGGAACAATGATCATACACAATGAGATTTGAATTAATATAAGTGGGAGATAGTAATTAGCATCATTTTTTTCTAGAATACCAAGCCATAGAATAAGGGGAAACAACTACCTTCTGTTCCTATATATAAGGTATTTTTAATCAAATTACGTAAATAAATGAAAATTAATTATCTAATTAAAAGTACAATAACATTTTAATTTTACTCCTAATCATTATAAATAAAAAATAATTTTTTTAAAAGTAAATTAATGAGAGTACTTATTTTTTAATTTAATAAGGATATAATGATTCATTTATTAAAAAAATATTAATAATTTTTTATATTTAAAAATTAAAAAAATTAAAAAAATTTTTATATATAAAAATAGGAAGAGAGTGTGGGAGGGTGGTGTAATCGATAAAATCGATTGCTTTATATTTAGAGAAGGAGACAGGCCGTGAAAATTCAGAACTTAGTCTTGGTCCGCTGCTGTCTTATTAATTCCATCACGTCTCAACTTGCTAATCAACCACGACCTTGTCCAATTAATAATAATTATTCAAAACCCTATTAATTCATTCGCTTCCCGAGGTTAAGCTTGGAGACAATCATGCGCAAATTGCAATCTACGGTTTTATGCATGTTAAAAGTTATTTAGACTGGCAAGACCCGAAATAAAAAAAATGTTATCTAGTGTCATTTCAATATGCTAAAGTGCCCCTCGTCATCATTCTATTTAAACTATACTTTTATCAGGGTAAAGAAGTGAATTTCACTATAAATTATTTTCTTAGAAGCACTGATATAATATATATAAAATAAATTTTCAACTTATAAAAATAAAGTATTCAATAGCTCACCATTAATTTTACTCAGTGAACATTATGTGGGGCCTACAAATAATGCATGGCAAGCCACTTCAACATGTATAAAGGTGTAAATTTAATCGTAAATTATTTTTTAAAAAATATTGGGTAGCCTCTATTGTAAAAAATAGACCATCCAACACTTTTTTTTATCAATTTTGATTAAATATTATTTATTTTTTGACTTATGAAACCTACGATGAGTCAATCTCTCTAATCTTTTTATTTTTATTCTCACTCTCAACTTGAGAAAAAAATTTCAAAGAATTTTTATTTAAAAATATTTATGAAAATAATGCCAACGAAGTAGAAGAAATTAAAATTTATTAAATTTATTTAAACTATAAATAAGTGTAGATAGGAAGATTATCAATAAATATTACTGTATTATTAATCTATTAAAAAAAGTAAGCCAAGCTGATGTGAAGTTGTTAATTATCATTCTCGCAAAAGAGTACTGCTAGAAGTAAAGACAAAGATTGCATTAAAAAAAGAAGAAAAAGAAAAGAAAAGACGAGGAGGTTTCGAGTTGTATCAGTTTGATTCAATTGATAAGAAAATTGTGCCAGCTTAATCAGAGTTATGATCGAGGAGTCCTAAAAATATAGCAGTGTTTTAATTGTAGAGTTTCCGCCCGAAATGATCTTCTTGACCCGGCTTAATCTGAATATGTCAAAAACATTGATTTTCAGACACATGATGATGTACTTAAAAGCAAGAAAAGAAAAGAGGAAAAAAAAAAAAGCAAAGACGAAGAGCATAACCAACCAACTGTTAACCACCAACACTAGTTTTGATAAATGCAGGAGGCCTACATACTTATGAGAAAGGAAAAGTCAATATTGGACAGAGGCAGATGCATGTGATGATCAATCTTTATGAGAAAGGGTTCTCCGACACTGACGTTACATCCTTTCGTTAAAATTTGATGCACCTCTGGTGGAAAACGTACGTAGCACCCCCTTCATGTCCTTATCCTCTTTTTCCATCTCCATGTTTCCTAATCACCCTTTATTTCCCTCCTTCATAATCAATGCCTCTTACAAATTTTTGTCATGTTTGATTATTAAAAAGAAATAAAATGAAATGGAATGAATTAAAATAAAAATAAAAATGAGATGATAAAAAAGAATAGTAAATTATATTTATAAAAAAATGGAGCAATTTAGTTTATAAAATTGAGAATCATAATTTATAAAATTTTTATAAGATGTGATTATTCCTACATTTATAATGGATATTAATAAATTTTATTATGTTTATTATGAGAAAGAAGGATGATTTAATTCATTTTTATTTTCATTTTTTTAATTTATTTTATTTTATTTTATTTAGTAACCACACGTAACCTTCAAGTACGTAGTTTTCCTAACAAAAGAGACCTTATATAAAGCCAACGAGTAATCAAGTCGAATCATGAATTTTGTCTCCTAAGCTTATGCTCGCCACCACTTTTCATTGCCCCTCAACTTTAACCCTTCATGCATCTTCTTTTCACACTGCCTTTTCCCATTATTGATTAATCATAACATGGATGAATTCATATATCATTTTCTAAATTAAGCCAATAAATCTATCAAATGGAGAAGCAATTTTCCACATTCAGGGACAGATTTTTGAGAAATTTTTAAATAAACCTGATGCACTACATTATTTATGATCAATCTAGTCAAATTTTACAAATTCACTTAAATAAAATTGTATGTGTAATTATTTTTAATGGATTTTTAAATAATAAAATATCTATTTAATTTCTTATCTTTTTTTCTTTTTATTATTATTTATGTCAAAATTAATTTATAATTAATACCATATAAATATAATGTTTTTATTAAATAGGCTATAGGTGATATAATAAGTCGGACTCATATAAGAATTTCTTAGGATATTGAGGGAATGTCACCAACAAAAAATCTTTTAAAATTACATTTTTATTTGTTAAAAATATAGTTGTAAAAAAGACTAGACGGCACTGGACTTCGACTTAACATGAAGTCTGGTTTCTTTCATAAAAAAATGGGTTAGCCAACCCATAGTCCGGTCTTATTTAGTGATAATTCAAAAATTAACAGGACCGAACTTGGTTCAAAGGACTAGAAGACTAGTCTTGTTAATTCAATATTCACTTAATTATTTTTTTATTTACCTTTTCCTTTATGAGAAGCAATAATCCATTCCAATTTAATAAACTCAATTAAGATAATAAGATCACTTATAATCATAATAAATTCAAAATAATTTTCAACAAGAAAAAATATTTCAATTACAATCTAAATTATTTAAATTTATAACTTTAATAAAAACAACACTCAACAAACTTCTACAATACTATATTACAACAACAATTTAGAAATAAATTCAACAAATCTTCGTGCAATCATCTCCTTAGCGTAAATTACACTTGAAGCATTTGTCAAAAATAAATTAATTATAATTATATTAAATAAATTAATTGATTCAAATGCCCAATCTCCTATCCAGTCCAACCTAAAAAAATAATCTAATCTTTTTAATTTTTTTAATTCTAAAAGATTAATGTTTATAATGATCGAATAGGATAAGACTATCTTGTATTGAATTGGGTCAAACAATATGGGAGGGCTTATGCTTATGCACAGCCCTAATTAAAAATGCTAAAATTAATTTTAGCCCCATAATTTTACATTTTGGGCCGTCCGTAAATTTGGTTCTAGGCCTGCCCCTGTGCACGCACAGTCACAGTAAACCTTAAACCTGATGTTGTGGCGTGAAATGAGCAAAAATCCCAATATTTTAATAAAGAAAAACAAATTAGATAAAGGGAATGCTAAAATAACGACATGGTTTCACCTTAGGAGTGATGGAAGAATAGGATGTGAAAGCTATCTAACGCACTGATTTCAATTTTTCTCGGTTGGGAAGGTTAGCTTGGCCTACCCCACATGAATATTTAGTTTGTTATTTTAATTCATGCTTTTAATTTTAGTAAGCCCACCAAACAAAAAATTGTTCCCTTTTTAATTCAGTTTCAAGCTAATCATCCTAATCTCTAATCAATGGAATCTCCACCATATTTCCGTATTTCACACCCGCGCACACCAAAAACAAACATACCGTAAAATCAATTTTGATTTCTTCAACTTACCATATAAACTCACGCACTTGGCCGTATAAATACCCCACAACCAACGTTATCGTTCCAGGGAAAAAAACACGCACAACACAACCCACACAAACCAACGATTATAGAGAGAGAGAGAGAGAGAGAAATGGGTAACGCCGTTGGACGGAGTAGGAAAGCGAAGGTGATGAAAGTAGACGGAGAGACGTTCAAGCTGAAAACGCCGGCGAGGGTGGATGACGTCGTCAAGGACCACCCGGGTCATGTGCTGTTGGATTCGGAGGCGGTTAAGCATTTCGGAGTTCGGGCCAAACCGCTGGAGCCCCATCAGGAGCTGAAGCCCAAGAGAATCTACTTCCTCGTGGAGCTACCCAAGGCTCAGCCTCCGGCGGAGCCTCAGCTGGCCAGGAGGGTCCGATCCAGCGGGATTCGGGGTATGAATGCTAAGGATAGGCTCGACTTCTTGATGCTTTCCAAGCGATCGGTCTCCGATATCACGTTTGCTAACAAGCAGCTGCCGCCCGTCGGCCGACTGGATGGGTCCGGGGCCGACGGCGAGCCAATAAGAGTCAAAATGAGGCTTCCCAAGGCCCAGCTGGAGAAGCTCATGGAGGAGAGTGACGACAGAGCTCAGGTCGCCGAGAAGATCATCAAATTGTACATGGCCAATAATGCCACCGAGGCCGGTGGCGTCGCCGTCGAAGCCAAGCCTGAGCTGGGTGCCAAAAAAGAGGCTCAAAAGCCGCGAGGGGTATGCAATTATCTCTTGATATTCTCATCCAATAAAGTCTCATTTTTGATTGGCCAAAAAATAAAAAGAAATAAATTTTCGTAATAAAGAGGATAGTGTTCAATTTTTAATGTAATTTGATACAGATAAAACTAATTTTAATTCAAGCTATTAATTTTAATTTATAATCTCTGACAAACTAAAATTAACAATTATAAATACAAACACACGCTCTTATTAATCGACGGAAGACATTATTTATAATTTATAATTTATAAAAAATTAGTAACATGTTAGATTGATCTCAGGATATTATTCATAATGATTTTATTTGATTTAATGAATCAAATTAATGAACACTCATGAGTCATGAATAACTGATTGAATGAAAGAGTAATGATATGAGAGATTAAATTAAAAAAAGGTAAAAAATTTTATTGGGTTTAATTTAAATATCACACACGCATGTTACGGTGCTTGTCTTGCGATCTTGAACGAGGAAGACAAAGGCCGACACGGCCGTTTTCTTATTCCGGATTTAAAGCAGCGTGTTATTTTAATAAGGGCATTGTTCTTTGACCCTTATATAGAAGCATTTACATTAAAAAGTACGAACAAAGAAACGCATATTTGAATGTTTGACTTTTGACATGTTCGGATTTTTGAACAAAACGTGAGTAAAACAAGCTACGTACGAATGTAGTAGTAAATGATGGAATCAAGAGTAGCAATTGTTTGTGGGAACTGCTTGTTGCTGGATTCGTGCGTTGTCTGTTTCTGTTAAGTGTAAAAACAAAAGGTCAAATGTTAGACTCTGTCGAAACTTTCAAGTCGGTGCTTATGCTTCTTAATTTATAAAAAATATCTTGATGGTTGATGTTTTTTTTTTATTTTTTTGGATTGCAGAAGCGGGTGAGTTTCAGTCCAATGGAAGGGGAAATACGCGTGGAAGCAGCTTCTCAATAGTATTTGGTTCTCGAACATTTGTATTTATAGCAGTAGCAGCACAGAGGAGCGGTCTCTCTGTTTTGGAGCTTCAGAAGTGACTGAATTTTGTTATGAAATGTTGTTATAGCTTAATTCAGTTTTCAGAGCAAATTAACTGTATTATAGGCGTTTAGAGTTAGCTTCAGAATTCAAATCAAGCATGGCTTCACGGCTCGATTTGATTGCTTGTAGTAGATCCTTGTGAGTAAGTAGGATTAATGGATCACAGTTGTTTGAAGCTGCAAACTTGGTTTCATATCATATCGCCCTGACTCGCTCCAGCAGCCCAACCATGTTTCCCTTGTATTCTTAGAAAATTTCAACGCTACATGCTCTATAATATCTAAGAGTTTTATATATAAAGGTAATTCATTCAAATATCCCAAAATATAAGTTTAATTTACCTACAAATCAAATGAAGGAAGTTAAATGTAACCTTGGCCCTCATGTATGATGAGGAGAAAGATTTTGTTTTTTTTTTCTTTGTTTAAATTATAAGACATGTCATTAATTTTTTAACAAAAACTTTTTTTTTATTTTATTAAATATTAGTGAGAGAGAATACGTAATCAAAATATCTAATACGTAATCAAGATATGTATATTTTAAAAAATAAAGTTAAGAATTTATTAATTTTTTTAAATAATGTGTTTTAAATTTCTTTTAATTTTAATAAAACATGTTGAAAGAGTGATTTATAATTAGAATTGAAGGGAGCAACCCATTAAATTTGTCAAAAAAAATTATAATAGTGCTTTTTAAAACTATCCTTATTAATTTTTCAAGGGCTATGATTTAGTATCAGTTTAAATAATAAAAAAAAGCTGAAAAATCACTTTAATAATGAAAACGAAGGAGAGTGAGGCAATTGGAGAAGTTCCTCTCCCACGACAACAAGGGAAAGTGAGAAGCAGAGCATCAATGCAGTGTAATAGAAGGACATTAAAACCTATTTCCAACAACTTAAGGCCCTTGATACTGTAGAGAGTTTTTAGATTGTATTAGGTTTTAAATGTAAAATTTTATAATATGAGAACCCGTGAGATTCTCCCTAAAAAAAAAAAACTGAAAAAACACTTTTAAGTCAAAACTGTGGAGAATTTTGATCCAAATAATGAAGGGAAAATGAAAGCAAAGGAGAATAAGGAAAATGGAGAAATTCGTCTCTCGTGATAACAATGGCAAAAGTGAGAAGGAGATCATGCATGTGGTGTAATAAATGGACATTAAAAAAGAAAAGAAAAGAAGGATAACACAAACATGGGCACATGGGAAATGGTTGGGAGTAAAAATGTGTAGGTGCATCAAACTCTAATATTGTCAAATGTGTACAATGAAGTAGATGTTGACTAATCCCCTGTTCTATCATCCCAACCATAGTCAAACTTTGCTTTGACATTTTGGGCACAGCGCCTCGGGACCTGGGTCCGTTAGTAGGTATATGTTGCAGCCCTATGCCATACATTAGGCTACTTTGCACCCTACATGTCTAGCCATGCATAAAAATTCAGAGCCTCAAAACTAACACTAGGCTGTAATTATTTTCTCTCGTTTTATTTATAAATTACTTTTCACGTGATTTAAAAGCTTTCAATCTTGTTCTTATTAAATTGTATATAAATACATAAGGGCCATTCTAAGTATAGTAAAAGATGAGATTGCTCGACACGTTGGCCGTCTCTGCAGATTGATAAATTGTTGTTTAACGAGAAGTTGTGAGTGGAGGAAGTGAAGAGGAACTTGTAAGCAAAGAAAGACAGAGAGAGGAATAGAGGGAATGGGTTGAGGAATACTTAATTGAATGGGTTGCTTCTGCTATAATCTGTAACGCGACTTCAAACCCTCCCTGCTTGATTATCTCCCAAGCTTCCAAGTTTGAGTTCCTCAGCCTTCATTATTATTATTCACCTTCTTCTCTTTCGTCCTTGTGCGTGCATTTTGTGCAACATAAGGGGTAGTTTTAATTAACGTGCCATTAATTATAAATTAATATTCTCTCCATTCACCTTTTGTTTACAAATTTATTGTCAATACCCATGAAGTCAACTAAATACAATTTGAAATTTTAATCTTAATTTTTTAAAAAATATAAAATTTTAAAAATACCCATTCATTTAATACAACCCAAACTTATGTTTTTTATATGACTATTAGACTGATTATATTCGACCATCGTTACGTTAAATTAAAAATAACACTCTCAAATATATTTTTAAAATTCACAAGGATTCAAACCCAAACTCAAGATCTTATATTTAAATGGTCATATCTTTTATTTTTTTATTAAGACCCTCAGTTAATTTATTACAAATTTAATTAATGAAGGGTAATTTTGAAATAAATCATTGATTATTTTAAAAAAACGACTTATATCATGAAAAGATATTAAGGCGGGGGAATATTGAAAGGGGGCAGAGGATTTGTGGGGAAATAAAATCAGCAGCCATATAACTTGAGAAATAAGAAAACAGAGGAAATGAAAGGGGTCTCGTGAGCATAATAGATGGAAATACGAATCCCATAAAAGAGTATATTAAGTTCGATTTGGGTGTATGCAACGAAATCTAATTAATTAAAATAATAATAGTAAGTAGTACTATTATTGATGAAGGACTTCGATATACTAATAATACCACACAGAATTCTAAAGAAGGCGCTTGATTAACGCCAAAGTTTGCGAGTTTCAAGTCCTCGGAAAGCTCAACTCAAGGAGGGTCCCATATCCTGGTTAAGTCGAGCCCGTGAATGAAAACACAAGAAACCAAAACGAATATATTCTGAATGTGATTTTGTTTTGGATTGCCTCTTTGTCGGGTTTTTTTGACTAGAAGAGATGTGGATAATGAATGTGATGGGGGGAGTAATATTCCTTTCATGCATCTTTATCTCTCCTTTCATTAATCGCTTTCTTACCACTCCCTCATTTGCAAGCAATTTGACTGCAGACTGCTTCCCACGTCTTCCTTCCATCTGCAACGCAAAATATTCAAATACTTACCCCACTCACATTTGTCTCTAACAAAAAATTATTCCAAAATTCACACACTATTTATTTTCAAGGATTTTGAGTGTTAAATTTACACGTTTGAACCCATATTTATAAATTTTCCATGTCTACTAGATGTTGCCTCCTTTTATCTAAATTATAAAACATTTTTTCATAGCTAGCTAGGTTTGATTCGAAATATTCTCTCTTGTCATTAATATATGATAAAGTTAATCAATTTCAAGTTTATTAAGAAATGATAGTTATATTTTTAAAATTACTAAAAAATGTATAACTTGTTAATTTTATCTTTCTTTATAATTAATAATTATAATAAATTGTTGTCGGGAATTCAAATGAATAAACAATCAAGGGGTAAAATTTTAAAAAAATTTAATTACTATAGCTTAGTCTTATATTAAGGACTAGAAAATATTTTCAAACTTCATCTTATATTAATTAGGGACCAAGAGGAATATATATGAAACTTAGTACTTTTAGAAATTATTTTTTTAAAAAAATTTACCCTCATATTAATTAATGTAGGCATGAAAAATAAATCTGATTAAACACTTCTTTTCATTTTTCATGACAAATGAGTTAAGGGAAAAAGGAAAAAAATGTCATTTTTCGTGAAAGTAAGGAAATAATTTTTTTTTATTGGTATGCAAAATATGGTTGAAAATGTTTTAGAATTTTGACAATAGAAATTAAAGTAGATATTTGAAGTTGGCTCAGAAGAATGAATAGTTCATGAATTTGATTTTTATGAATAATTTTTCATTGATCCTTTTTACTTACCTCCGCCTGGATTGTAATTTAAATGAGCACTTCTTAAAGTAATTTATTTATTTTTTGGCCAAAAAAAGTAACGTATTTATTTAATTAACCAGACTAACCAGCATTCCAAAAATCCGATGTGACCTTGAAATAACTGATACTGGGTAGACACAGAATCAAGTCCGACAGAAAATTGAGAGCAAATTCTATCGGAAGATTTACAAGAGTAAAAAATTTATCATAATTTATCATGAAAAATATATAAAATTATAATTGGCCAAATTTTCCTTTTATTACAAATTACTCCAACAGTTTCTTCCAATATTTCTTGCTAGTGTTTTTATTTTTGCCAAACAATTTTACTGCTACTAGTTTGATTTTCGCTTTTACTTTTATTTTGTGGGAGGGATTACACCTCTTAAGCGATCATCTTCCAGCTTCCGCATCACGATCCATAATTAGTCGAAATTAGTTAAAATTGGGATTAAAATATAAATTTACCCTTGAAGTGTTTTTTTTAGACACAATTGATATTCTAAAATATTTAAAAATATAATTTCATCTTGTCATTTTTCAAAATGGTATAAATGTTCCTTGATCGTAATATTACAGTTAACCCTATCTTTTTGACTTTATTGTGCTGACATGACATTTCCAGACGGCAGTTATCTCTTCCTTTTGCTTTGTTAGGAAAAATGCTTTGACCTTAAGGATTATATTTTTATGATCAAAGAAAAATCAACAATGCTAAAAAAAACGATAAAACTATAGTGGCATACTAGCCACCAGGATCTTCTTTAGTATACTGGCCTCCTCACCAGTTAAAATCTGCAACGCTGTAGTTTAACTCAGGTCAACTTAACCAAATAATCCACAACCTCATTACACACATGGTCAATATTCACCACCTCCACTTGCCAATCTCTTTGAAGCAGAATAACAAAATCATCATGCAAGTCTGAAGCCCCTAAATGTGTCAGCTAAGAAGAATTCATATTGACCTTTCGAATTACTCTTATGGCTGTGAAACCCAACATTAATACTTGGAATCTCACTGAGGAATCGACCACTATTTGGGCATCTATATTGTCTTCACATGCTGTTTCAGAATTAACTATGTTAAACCTCGCAGAGTCAACTACGCCACAGCAATTCAGCAACCTAGAGACGTCTTCAAAACCTCACAATACCAATTTAATCTCGTGCGAGTTCAAAAATGCAATCCAGTACTTCAAGCTAAAAATCACTATCCCCAAGAAATTAAACAAAGCAAGAACTGGTGTGGATTTACGGCAGACTAGAGTGAAGGATGACTGGGTTCGACGATTCAGTTATGAATCATGACCCTTCATTGACTCACAAAACGAATGACGTGTAGTGATTCTAACGAGCTGTGATGGCTACAATTCCACAAACCGCCATGAGCGAACTGGTAAGATGGGGAATCAAGCTTCAAACACCATGAGAGAGAGAGAGAGAGAGAGAGAGAG